CCCATGGCAGGGGGGTTGGAACTAGATGATAAACTATAAGGTCCCTTCCAACCCAAAGCATTCTATGAGTCTTTGAAACCACGTATTTATTTGAAAATACTAAGTGGTTCTTGATTTAAATGAGAAGACTTACAGCATGTGTTCCTGAGTACATCCTTATGTGCTCTTGAATGCTGTATTTTTGGGTAGCCATGAGTCACTTCAGTGAATAGAAAAGCAAATGTTCTTATTGGTGAAAAGAGGTGTTAGGATGTATTTTTTAATATATTGAGGAAGAAGAATTTGGCAACCCAGCAGTGGCAGATATAATTTATGTTACAGCAAATAGCTATGAAATGCTGTTCTCAGACTGAAACAATTGAAAAGACTTGAGGTTTGTAGAGTGCCCAAAGCTTGCTTAGTTATGGGAGTTACAGACTTCATGTGTGTGTATTTCCTAGTATTTTGTGGAGCAGGAAAGAAGAATCACAAGTCTGAAACCCGCTGTAACTTGTTTCTATAACACTTCATTTCCTAGGCCTCATATAGTGACAGCAAAGTGGTTGCTGGAGTCATATAGTAAAGGCTATCTACATCCAGTGGAGCACTATATCCCTCTAAACTATCAGCTGTTAGAGAACCCAATTTTGGAGCAACCTGAAATGAAGTCAATTCTTCCAAAAAAAACCAGTCTTGCGAAGAAAGAACCTGTGAATGTTCTAAAGCACCAGAAAGCTGTTGAAGATGACTTTCTCTCTCAATATATAAATAATGATTCTACATTAGGTATGTTCTAGGCTCAGCATACTGTTTAAAGTTTAACTGCTCATAATTAGCATTTGGGTTTTCAGGATTTGTTTATTAAAAAGCTAACCACATCTGGTATTTTAACTTCTACATTGTGTTTCAGAAATCAAATTTAAACAGGCCTATGTAGAACAGTTTTTAACTAAAACCTGGCTGAAAACAGCAGAATACTATCATTTCTTCATGAAACTGTTTTGGGTTGTCTTTGGTGTTCTTGTCAATCAATTATTATGCTTGATTGTTCATTTATTTTTCTTTAACCTTTCAGATGAAGTGGAAAAATTAACATCCAGAACCTTCAATGATGTTACTAACTCAACTGTTCAAGGACAGAATCAGTCTTCTGTCTGTAATGGTTCTTTGGGAGAGTCTTCTGCACCAGCTGAGGGAGGTGTATTTGTCAGAAAGACTTTTCTTCTTTTGGGTTTTGGTGAAGAGGAGGAGTCCTGCCTTGCAGATATTATAAAGGAGAATGCTGGGAAAGTTCTGCCACTGCAAAGCAGAACCATTGCAGACTATGCTGTGGTACCTTTATTGGGGTGCACAGTCAAGCCAACTGTTGGTGATGTTGTCACAAATACATGGCTGGTAAGGGAGTTATACTTTTTCAATTCCACAAATAAATAGGTATCTATGTTAGAAATTTGTCTTGTCAGAATACAGAGTTATTGGTGACTTAAATATAAATAAGATACTGAGAGATTAGCCTTGTTTCATTTGAAATGTACTAAATGAAAACATGCTTTAAAACCTCTGCATCTGTAAGGTGTCTTGTCTGTTGCACTTCATTTTCTATAGGACTCTTAAACAGGATTTCGTTGTCTTGACTCAAAGGTCATTATAAGGTCTGACAGTATTCTCTCTAAATGACGAACTGTAGAAGGAGCTAGTTGACTAATGATGATTTCATTTTATATCTTTGCTTGTTTCATGCTTTTTATAGCTTTTTTTATTTGTGGCAGAAGAGGAAGTCACCTTTACAGCTTAAAAGTCAAAAAATACTAACCATGTTTGCCAAGAGCGGGCATATGGTATAGACTACCTACTGTTAGTATTTTTTGATATGAGGTGACTTTCTGTGAAGTAGATCTATACAGACCCTCAGATCATGCCTTGAACTACTCTAAGGGAACATAGAGGGTTGGAATTTAAGTAATGAAAAGTTCTGAATAATGCCTCAGCATGTCAAACTTGACAAAATTGAAGTGATCTAAAAAAGAATTTGGGAAATAATTTGTATCAGGTGTGATGATGGAAGCAGGATTGCTTGTTGTTGAGTCCATAAATGCTCTTGTACAGTTGCTGAAATATTGTTGGCTTTGTTGCTATTTAGCTTTATTTACATTTTTATCTCTTTCACCTTCTTAAAGATAGCATGTGTGGAACAGCAGCTCTTTTTAGATCTCCGGTCCAATCCACTTTTCACACCAGTCCTGATAATGGAAGGAGCTACCCCTCTGGAAGACTGCGTTCTTTCTTTTAGCCAGTTCACTGGTGCAGAGAGAGACTCCCTTGCTTATCTGGCAGGACTGCTGGGAGCCAGGTATGTCTCCTGTCACCATTTCTTCTTGTTCTTAGATAGCCAATGTGCTGCCATTGTGCATGTCATTTTTCTTTACGAGGATTAAAGTTCTTTTGAATTCTGTTTATTTACAAAACCTGGTGCTGAAGCAATGAGACGTCATTACATAGTTCTTCTGTTTTCCTTTCCTTTAAAGAAATATGGTCTGTACTCACACAGTCTAATTTCTACCAGAATATGCTCAGTCTTGTGTTTCCCAGTGACTTGAGTCTCAGTAACTTTTTACTCTGCCGTAGAACAGAGTAATAAAAGTCAGTTTTTCAGGTGTCAGGCCTTCTGGGTTGTTCTTCAGTTATCCAGGAGAGGACCATTTTTCCTCTTCTTCAGCACTGTCCGGTTCAGCCTCATAACCAGTGATAGTGCACCATTACTTAGGATCAGGATCTTTGAAAAACGTTAAGAAAAACATGTTTAGTCATGACATAGCAAAATTGTGTAGCTTACAGTATCATTTGATCTGATTTGTAGGCTGTTTGAACTAAATTATTTGCTGATGAGTTCTCAGTCCTGCCATCTTTTTGGAAGATTGTGTCCTTGATGATAAAAGAAACTGTAATATAAAGAAAACTGTTAATTATTTGGAAATGATGCATGTTAACTCCAGAAGGGAATCAAGCCTGTTCCATTAACCTTACAGAAGGACGTTAGGCCGAGCATTATGATTTGAAAATGAGATATGTGAGGAATGCTGGAGTAAGAGAAGTATTGATTTCAATCTTGATAGAAGCAAAACATTACTGTTTAATTTTTCTTTTTTTCTGCTTGTAGGTTAGGCTGAAAGTGCAAAGTGGGTGGCTTTAGATGTCTAATTCTACTGGTTCTTTTTCTTGTCGCTTGAATACATTTTATAATAGTATAAATGTGCCCTAGATTAATTTTCTTAATGACTAAATGAATGTTTAATTAATGTAATTGTAGAGTCCAAGAATTCTTTGTGCGGAAAGCCAATGCAAAAAAAGGAATGTTTGCCAGTACCCATCTTGTGGTAAGAGAACCGAATGGTTCCAAGTATGAAGCTGCGAAGAAGTGGAATTTGCCAGCAGTCACTGTAGCTTGGCTTTTGCAGTCTGCAAGGATAGGGAAGAGAGCAGACGAAAGCAAATTCTTGGTTGAAAATGCAGAGGCTGAAGGTTGGTTATCAGCAAGTTAGGGAATATGATTGTGTCTGTGTGACTGTTTACGATAAAAAAGGCAGGTATGATGAATGTTTTTTCCTAAAAATACCTGCAGAGTATTAGAGCTAAAGGATATTTTTCCAAATATTAAGATGGAATCATAAAATGGTTTGGTTGGAAGGGACCTTAAGACTACCTAGTTCCAACCCCCTGCCATGGACAAGGACACCTTCCCCTCGACCAGGTTGCTCAATGTAACTGTACTTTTTCTATATTTTTTTCCTGCTTTTGCGTCATGATTACAGAAATGATACTGTGTATTTGCTGCAAGTCTGTTGGAGCCAGTGGAGTCTTTTGGTTATCGGTCAGTTGGGATTCAAGCTCAGTGTCTCAACTTTGTCCTTTTTGGCACCTATGCTGCTCTGTAGCTTGAGTGGGAATTGATGATAGATCCAGCTTAAAACTTCGTACTTGTTAGTCTGCAATGAAGTCCCTCTGTTCAGTTCTTCATGCCTACCCCATCTTCTGCTCCTTTTCCAGTTATTTCAAGTCTTTTATTTGGCAATATTTCTTCCATATTAAGATGCAGACTACAATGATTTAATACTGAATGTTAGCAGACCTGTTTTAAAAGTGCCCTCATAAATTAATTATATGGGTCACTAAGTCAGAGGACAGAAGATATGCTATTGGCATGGCACATCTTATCCGTTTATTACATTTTTAAGGAAACAAAGTGGGGGGTCATGGGAAATGAGCAGTAAAATGTAAAAGCAATTCTTGTGTTAAATTTTTTTCAGCTATAAAGATGGTGAGTCATGCTTATCTGGAAGTATTTATGATAGACAAGTTATAACAGTTTATTCCTAGCTAAATCTTGGTCCTGTTAATCCAAAAGCATGAAGGACTGGATGTATACGTGATGAGCTAAAGAGGTGGGATTCAGAGTTATGAATGCAAAAGAAATCTGAAGTTGCATGGGAAGTAAGGAGCCAGGGAGGAGGAGTTACCTTTAGTGTTGAAAGGGAAGATTTTGTTGTATATTACATAATTTTCTTGGATTAGAATTTTGATAGTTGTTGTATGACATATGTGAGCTATACAGGTATGTGTGGAACTGCCAACAGTGTTAGTGGATCAGGGATTGCTCACTTCTTTTCAGACACTTAGGGTCAAACTCATGCCTACGGAATACAAACTAAGTAGTTAACTGAAAGAGACGCTGAACGTGCTGGCTTTTAAATGTAATTGTAGTTTAGAGCATTTATTGGGGGATATGAATTATTCTTTTAGGGAAAGAAAGGTCAGGTGAACTTTTGATTGTTGTTTAAATGGAAGTGTATGTGTGAGGTCTGTGTTCAGAAGAAAAATTAGTTTGCTTGCTTATGTTTTCTTTGTTTTTTTTTAAAGATACTGAGAGTTTCATTACTCAGCTTACCAAGACACCAGCAACTGTTAAATATCCTGATTCAGAACAGCCTCCTTATCTTCTTGAAGCTGGAAAAAAACCAGCTGTGACCCCACTTGATATCAACAGGTTCCAGAGTAAAGCTTTCCAAGCTGTCATCTCTCATCACATTGGGAAGACAACCCCTGTTGCACAAGGCGGACCCCTACAGAAGGAACCATCTTTACATCTTGACACGCCGTCAAAATTTCTTTCCAAGGACAAGTTGTTCAAGCCTTCTTTTGATGTAAAGGTGATTGTCTTTGCAAATTTTTTAGTCTGTAGAGCCAGTATGGTTAAAGATGTGCATAAACTTAAAAGCAGCACAGAAACCTGTGCTTATCCATTTTTATACTGTTCACATACAGAATTTCCCTTTTGAATAAAGCCAGGAAAACTGGGTCCATTTATTTATATAGTTTTAGTTAATAACCTGTGGACAAAATTTATTGACTAGTAGATGCTGTAGTGTCCTTAACAAAGCTCCTTTGTGCTTATTGCATCATATGCTTGTGTGTCCTACAACTCAGCCAGTACACAGTCTGTGTTCTCTGCATCTAAAGACTGAGAAATGCAACAAGGCAGCTTGTTATTGGCTCTAGGTATTTGGAAACAAGTGTTTGTTTATTTTGTGATGAGATACTACTTTCATACATGTTGTAATGTAATAGCTTTATAGCAATTACGAAGCTGTTATTGCAAATTGAAAAATGTGTTGGGGTTTTGGGCTCGGTGTCTCATTCTGAAGGCCACAAAGGGCTAAAGAAACCAGCACAAAGAAACCCCCGATACTTAGTGAGTGTCTGTGCTGGAATAGCTCTTGAATGTTTCAAGTGTGCTTTGGAAGGCTTCCGGTTCGATTTTGATTTTCAAGGCCTTAACTGAAAGATCAGTGCACTGAATTCCTGCAAAGTTGTTAGGTTTTTCTGGGGGGTTGTTTGTGAGTTGTCTGTTGTGGTTTGCATGTGTTGCGAATCCAGTGTTCTCTTTAGCCAGTTCTGCTTCATGAAGAGAAGGCTCCAGGGAGACCTTTTAGCAACCTTTTAGTACTTAAAGGGAGCCTACAAAGAAGGATGGAGAGGGACTCTTTACAAGGACATGTAGTGACAGGACAAGGACTGATGGCTTCAGTCTGGGAGAGTGTAAGTTTAGATTAGATATTAGGAACAAATTCTTTACTGTGAGGGTAGTGAGGCACTGGCACAGGTGGCCCAGGGAAGTCGTGGATGCCCCATCGCTGGCAGTGTTCA